GTGGATAGACAAGAAGGTGGTGAAACTGAGGAAAAGCATCTAAAGGAAGGAATTATGCAATTCCTGGAGATTCTGGATCTCTTTGGAAGTGTAACCTCCGATAAAAGACAGATGCTGAGCTTTCATGTTGTTTAGAGTTTTAGGATGGTCACCAAGTTTAATGCACCAGTAAGGACATTTGGTTAACAAACATAAGACACTTGGACCTCCTACATGATTTAAGATGAACTTCGTTCACGTTATTCTCATCCAGCATCCATGGCAAGTTTTTTTAATCTAAAGGCAAACTGATTGTATTTACATTGAGAAATCAGTGATGAAATCAGTCATTGTCATTGACCAATACATACAATGTGAGTCAAAAGAATCAATACCTTCGGTACTGCTAGCATAAATGTTATTAGAAATCAAACCTTAGCTCATCTTGGTCATAGAAAAGGACAGGGGGAGGCTGGTTAGAAAGGAGAAGTGGAGGGAATATCCTTATCACATTTTCTCATAGAACTGGAGTTTTGAGAAGCATTCTGTTAAAATTCAACATAACCATGAGAATTAGACTCATCCTCGAGCTTAAAGGTGAACCAGAAGCTGTAGATAGATCCCTGCAGTTCTAAATCACAAAGTTAATGGCTTTACTCCATAAAAGTCTTTATGTATCTTTAGTTTTATGGAAGATGGAGACCAGATGAAATCTCTGAACACTCTCAAACTGTACAAATGAAAGAATGATCGAAATCTATCTTTCCCATTAAGAACTAATAATTTAGTCTGGGTGCATGAAAATTTATAACTATATCATTGTTGTTTTTGTTGTTTGCCATCAAGTCAGAATCAACCCATAGCTTACTAACCTGCATGTTTTCAGAGGTAGTTAACTGCACAAGAGTATATTGCCAAGAAAAAAAATTCAAAAAAGATTAGGTCGCCAAGGAAGGACAGAACCTAATGCAGGCAAAGAAAGATGGTTTATTAAGGAAAAACTGCTGGGCTGGTCCTCAAGCAGAAGACCAGCCCCCACTAAGAGTTAGAGGGGTATTTTATACTTTCTTACATGGGAACTGGGGAAGGGGATGTATACAGATACTTTCTTCAAGATAGGGAAGTGGTTTGGGGTCTCAGATAACTATTTCTGGGGAAATGGGGGTAGGGTAGTGTCACAGAGAGAAAAAGCAGGGCTGCTGTTTTCTGTTATTGGATTCTCTCAGTAGCCATTCTGCGAGAGGAAGGAGAAGGTTCTGCAGTCCTAATAGATTGTCCATTCTTCTCCTGCATATATATAGATATAGCCATAACTAGATATCTATTTTTATATTTGTTATAAGAGGCCTTTGAATCAATTGCAACTTATATTGACCCTGTAAAGAATAGATGTCTTTGAATAGTAGTGCTGGAGAAGAGTATTTACTATACCATGGACTGCTAGAAGAACAAAGAGGTCTCTCCTGGAGAGGGTGAAACCAGACTGCTCCTTGGAAACAAGAATTTTGAAGGTCTGTTTGACATACTTTTGGCATGTTCCCAAGAGGGTCCGGTCCTTGGAAAGGTTCATTATGCTTAGAAAGGTGGAGAAATAGAGCAAGAGACAAAGTCTCTGGATGAAATTAAGTGACTCAGTAACTGGGGTAATGGGGGTAGGTGTGTCAGAGACAATGAAATTGGCTCAAGACAGAGCAGGGTTCAGAGCTGTTGTACATAGGGTCACTATGCGTTGCAGGCAACTCAATGGCACATAACAGTAACAACAACAAATCTGAACTGTGCTATACCCTGCATTATCATCTTGAACTCCAATATGGTCAAATTCTCTGTCAAAATTTTTGTGTCATTCCATATTCTTGAAGATTTCATCTCTTCTTTTTACTGTCTTCCTTTACCAAGGAAAAGCTTTTTTCCCCTAGCACTGGACTCTTCTGTAAAGTGCCCAACAAATGTAATAGAAAGTTTCATCATCTTTGCTGTAATGAGCCACTTGGTTGGACCTCCTCCTAGACAGGGTTGTTTGGTCATTTGGCAGTCCACGGGATACTCAGTACTCTTCTCCAATACTACAATTCCAAGACATCAGTTCTTCTTCCATCACCCTTAGTCATTTTTCAACTTCCAGATGCACAGTAAGCTATTGAATATGACAACTGTGGATCAGACCTACACCTTAGTCTTTATACTACCTCATTACTCTTTAGCTCCTTGTCTATATGTCTTTTGATTTCTTGATTACTGCTACCACAGGTATTAAGGAAGATGAAATCATGGGCAATTTCAGTCCTTTTTTGCATCTATGATGATTTTGCATATTGATCCAGTAATGAGGGTTTTTATACACATATATAAATATATGTTGTCATTGTTATGTGCCATCCAGTTGCCTGTGACTCATAGAGACCTACAGGCTCAATCCTGTGCCTGTCTCACTGTCTGTGACACACCTGCCTCCGTTACCCCAGCCATTGACTCAATCCATCTCATCGAGGTTCTTCCTCTTCTGTGCTGTCCCTCAAACCCTCTCATGCATGATGTCCCTCTCCAAAGACTGGAAAAATATCCAAAGTATGTGATATATAAATATATATTTGACCATATATAAATGTCCTTGCAAAATGCCCAAAGTATGTCATATACATATATAAATATATTTATGCATATACATATATGTTCTTATTGTTGTTATGTGCCGTCGAGTTGCTTGTGACTCACAGCAACCCTATGTACAACAGCCCTAAACCCTGCTCTATCCTGTGCCAAATGCACTACCTCTGACACACCCATCCCGATTACTCCAGTCACTGAATCAATTCACCTCAAAGAGTGTCTTCCCCTCTTGCGCTG